TGCCAGAGTTTTGTGTGTTTCAATGATGAAGCATTTCACTGAGGCACCTGCCACCATACACACCCTAAAAATGAACTGGTGACAGACTGAAGTTTCTTGTTACATTCGTCAGACCCCATGGTTTTAACTTCACAATCTGCTGAGGCACGGCCTGATCTTCCTACCATCAGATTAAACTTGGTCCACCTAACTGGAAGTCCTGGATTTGGGGAAGCAGCCCCATACCTACAAGTTAGGAGAATCCTGAAGAACAAGCTAAGAGCGAGGCGGGCTTGGTTCTATTAGTTTACACCTCGTCTAATAAGACTTCATCACAGTAGGTTTCTCACCTACCACTGTGTTCTCCTAAACTATGGAGGCTCCTGAACCTAACGCTCCACACTGAGACTTTCCGGCCTCTCATCCGCACGTGAAGCGGGACAAACGCCCTGGGATTCCAGCAATGTTTCCTGTAAATCAGATCCTCAAATTGCCTGTGTGTCTACGACTGGAAGTAAAGACCAGCAAGTCCACTGTGGAGAAACGACATGGTTGAAGTTGCAGGCTAGACTCCCTACCTCCTTTTCTCAAGCCCCTGTAACATTTATCTCCTGGATAAATGTGCTGCTTGGACTAATCTTTATGGCCACCCTTGGCCATGGAGTTGAGAGACCCTCCTACACATTAGTCTGAATCACTTCTTTTTATTTTGGGGTGACTCAGGCTAATGGAAGGCAGCTAACGGTTTGATCCTTGAAGGGATAATCCATTTCTTCCTTTAAAACACCACTAAGTGTTGAGAGGTAGACTGTCTCTTGAGTTGGACAGTAAGCAGTTATGTTGCAGCCCCCCGAAAGGTCTAAACAAGAAAGCGTTTCACAGGCCTGTGCTCTTGAGCCCATCACCCATGTTGAACTTTCCTGTGTTGCTGTGGGGTGCCCTGGAGTAGATCCCACTCAGTGCGACCCCGAAGGACACAGAACTGTCCCACAGGACTCCCAAGGCTGTGAGCTTTATGGGGGCGGATGGCCAGGTCCTTCTCCCCAGAGCCGCTGATGGGTGTGAACTGCTCATGTTTCAGTCAGCAGCTGAGTGCTTCCCCGCTGCACCAGCGGGCTCCTTGCCTTTCCTGACGGAGCTAAGTGGGCCGGTGAGCTTGGAGGGGAGCATCGGCCTGGGCTCTGGGCTGCCAGTCCTCCTTCAATGCTCGCCAGCAGGTGCCTCCTCGGCTACAGCAGTGGGAAGGGACTTGCGGTCATTTTTCTCTGGAAGGAGACACTCCGCTATCACTCACACAGGGTCCTGCAAAGGCATCTGGGTGCTAGGGGGGCTCACCTGGTAGCTATATGACATACTGGGTGCCCCCATCTCATGCTAAGGGGCCCCAGGGCAGGTTCTTGGTATGTTCTGAAGGAGTGAGGGGACAAATGCTACGAAAATGTACATGACTTCCCTGGTAGGCCACTCTCCCCACATAAGCAACAGCGAGCAATGCCTTTCCCAGCCCTGGGCTGGCGTGCCAGTCAGGATAGTCTCATTTGAACTAAACCTGCTGATGAAAAAGCCTGTTCTAACACAGCACAAAGATGCACACATCTGGTCTGCCATCTCCAGAAAGGCCATGGCGCAGCCATCGCAGTTCCACAGCCCTCAGAGTTCAAGAGAAGGCCGCCTAGGCCTACTGTCCTCCTTGACAGCAGAGAAGAAATAAACAGTGAGATTTAAGAGAACTTCTGAAATTAAATGTGGGTTTCTTTCCGTTTATGTTTAAAATGTGTAAGAATCGACAACCCAGAGGGGGCCACCAGCCTGCCTGCAGACTAAGGCTCTGATACCAAAGTCTGGGGCCTCTCGGACATGGTTGGCTTCCAGAAAAGTGGGTGCACAGCGGGAAATCACTTCACACAAAATCATCATGGTTAACAAGGAGGCAGATGATTTAAAAAGGGACCGAATCTTCCAGCCGTGCCGCGTAGAACGCATCCTGCCATGGGTGAGAAGCAGGTGATGGGGGTTCTATTCAGAGCTGAGGGCTGGCTGTAAGTACTTCTCCCCAATCACTTCTTAAAGGGAGTGCAAAATGAAGGCTCCTTAATCATCCTCTTACCCCATGTTCTTTAAATCACCCAATTACAGCTAATGAGCACGGCACCGGGAGACACTCGGGGGAAGGAGAACTCTGGAGAGCAGCAGGTTCTGGGGTCATGCGCCTACAAGGGGCTTACTTCAATCTCTCTGCAAGAAATCAATACACACTTGCGGCCAATTAATGATTCTCTCTTCTTTTCAGTCCCAAAGTTTATAAAAATGGCCTTCTATCACGAGGGAACTAAAAGATGACTTTTAAACAGATTTCTTTAAAATCTATTCCTTTGAAATTTAGCTTTTTCTCGTAATAAAAATAAGGGAAACAGGAGCCACGTACTAGATCACGACTGAGGCAAGTTAACGATTCAAAGCGTTGCCCATAAAGCACTCATCTCTGTGTCTCAGAAGCAAACATGACGAGGAGTTTTGCCCCCGTTTCCAGTGAGTACAGGCTCAGGGAACTGGGACAGCAGTATTTTTGTGAAGTGCTGAAAAGATAACCCACCAGAAGCCACGCTCATTGAACACAGACGACAAGATCAAAGGGAGGAGCAAGAGGGCCCAGGAGGCATGAGGAATGGTGGTGTGGCCCAAGCCCCAGGACACCCACGCTGTGGAGAAAGCCCACGGCCATCACAGGATGGTTGTCTCCTTATGGAGGGAGTGTGAGGGACCACAGAGAGGGAGCAGCTGCGATGGCCCAGGACAGCTGCCTATGTTAGGTTCAAGGTAGTAAAACTGGTACAGGAAGATGAGACAGACAGCAGACGCCCTCCTGCAGAGATGAGGCTCCAAGCACCCTGCTCTTTCCTGTCCAAGATGCCACGAAGCCAGCGTCACAGATGTGTGCGGTGGGAAATGGGAAGATCACAGGGAGTGTCATCTTTCGGTGAAGACAGACAGAAAGGGCCACACAGGCATCCCCTTTGCAGCACTGAGTCAAGCGACCTTTGTCTGTGTTCTGTGGTTGTGGGGATGGAGGCCGAGCAGTGGGAATGCCAGGGGCGCAGCAGGGAGATGGCGGCACCCTGACGCACCTCCAGACCCATGAAAAAAAAGTCAGACCCTCAGTGGAAAGGGTCCAGTCCCTGGACTCGAGTGCCTTCCCCTCAAGCTCATTCATTCAATGTCAGGACAGAAGCAAGACGCCGGGGGCTACTGAGTCCACGTGTATTTTAAACTAACGACATCACAATTTTCGTTAACCACATACTTTCTGTATGATTTCAATAAAAGAACGAAAAAAAGATTCCAATGAAAGAAGAAGAATTTCAAGTGCTTGAGATAGACAACAGGGATGGGAAGCTACTTTCCTTGATTTGCATTATAATTTTCCCATTAAAAGCTATCCCTATCAAGCGGGGGGGCACAGAGAAATCACAATTATTTTTAAAAGTTTGGACTGTTCAGTTTAAAGATAGCTTTGAAAATACAATTTAGTTTGAAATTCAAGTTGTTTCATTTCCTATTTAATCTTGTAAATTCCCTTTTCTTAAAATACTCAGAGTGGAAGGGGCCAAATTAGACCAGAACAAATTTTCACCAAGTTCACTTCAGTGCTTTATTTTTAGATTATATTAAAAACCTCATTAGGCTCCCTGAGGGAAGAGAGTGTGGACCACTGACAGGCAGGGAGAGAAGGCAACAGAAAGATCAGCTGAACGGGTAATAAGGGGGAGACCCGTCCAACAGTGGGACCGAGTCACTGTGCAATGGGAAACTCAGGACCCAGGCCAGGGCAATGGCTTGAGCTGGGAGCTACATCTTTGACCTCAGGGCTGGTGAGGACGGGGCAGCTTGTCCAGGAGGCTAGTGTCTTTACTGTGACAGCCAGATGGGATCTGGAGGGAGGGGGCCGGGTGGGACGGAAGCAGAGTCGGTACAGAGTGCCAACGAAGGGTTCGGTGCTTCCACACGCAGAGAACGTGCTACGAGAACATTCATGGGCAGGCCGGGCAAAGGGTGGGCACAGTGAGCCGGGGTGCGAGACCACCTGGAGTGCCAGGTGAAACTCAGAATTGATGAACACGTTCATACAATTTATAACACTTTAAGCACTGGCCTCATAAACACAGACTAGTTTTACATATACTCAGCAACAGGTCATTGCCTTCCCCCAAATATCTGGGTTAAACAATGGACAGCACTCACACCACTTCCTCTCCTCTTTCTCCCTCCCCCCCTTTTTTTCAAACCACTGTCAAGTCAGTTGAGAACACAGGAAACTCCTGTCCACACAGGTGCCCTGCCACCAGCACCAGGAGAGCTTCCTTAAGGAGGTGCCAATGATGTGTTTGGTGACACATGCGTTGACAAGGTCAGAATGCAAACTCAGGGTGTGTGACATGTCTGTGGGTGTGGGTTAATTTACTGTCTGCATCCCTGGGTGATACTGTCAATGAAAAGTGCTTCAGAGATGGTGGGGGTGCAATCCCTTCCCCCAGCCCCATGCATAATCCGTTTTCCCTTCAAACTGTTAACTGCCGTCCCTCCACTTTTGATAGCCGTCCGCTATCAGGAAATGCAACTCCTGGGAACAGTGGCAATGGGAAGCCAAGGAAATGACGACCCCCACAAGGTGCTGCCCCCCCTCAAGAACCACAGAAGTGCCGACCTTCCCTTTACAAACAGTGGAGAAACGTGTGATGACAGACCTACTCAACAATTTCATCCTACCGTCCACACAATGGTATGTTCCTCCTCAGCAAGGCCAAAACCCAGGGATGCCATCCCTTGTACACCAGCAGCTCCGTATATAACAGACGTCCGCAGACGGAAATGGCATTGCTGCCGTCACCAAGAGAAGAGAACTGGTCCATTTCCGGGAATCCTTTCTGCACAAAGAACACCCGGGACTGGCCAGGTGAAAACCTGCAGCAGGGCCCCAGCCCCTGCCAAGGACGGCTGCTTCAAGTCTGAGGGCGGAGGCTCGGTCAGCAGCAGCTTCGCTTCGGCTCTGAAGGCTGTCTCCGGAGTTTGAAGCCCTTACCGCCAGAGGGAGGGTTGGCGTCCGTGGATGGAATTCTTCGACCTACGCCGAGATGAGAGGAGGAAGGCGGAAGAGTTTTAACTTTCCAAATCTGGTCATTCTGAGACACAACAATTCTGTACATGCAATTTGACAGGTTCTATTAAAAAATCAATCAACTTTTTACTTTGAGTAACTTTTAGAGTTACAGAAAAGTTGCAACGATAATAGTGTTCCAGTGTACACCCCAGCCAGTTTCCCCTAAGGGTAATACCTTATTTTTCCACAGGACAACTGTCAAAATGAGTAACTCCAGATTTTATTTGATGTCACCAGTTTTTCTGTTAACGTCATCTTTGTTCAGGCTTACATTGCATTTAATTAAACAAATTATACCTTAGAAACATTCTGTTTTGAATAGTAACACAATGTAAAAACAAAATGCGACTGCCTCCTTTGCACTAAGAGCAGAAGAACTAACTGCATGGTGCCCTGCTACCATCACTGAGTATTTTGATCACATTCTATGTAAGAATCTTTAACCAAAAAGGGGAAAATGCAGAAGAGAACTTAAAATTCTCATGGAATCCAGACTTTCTCATTTATGGAGGCTAGACCAACTCTTCAAACTATTACCTTGAGATAATCTTTAAACCTAAAAGCAAAAATGCCCCCTGAAGTCTTCTTTAAACCAAACAGTAGTCTAGGTTACAGTAAAGAGTGTGTGCCTGGTGAACTGTGTTCTTTTAAAGAACTATCCATAAGGGATAAATGGACAAAAGGTTAGATAGGAAGCTTAGGGCACTGAGCTTATGTTGATGGAGGAACAGTTCAGCAAAGGAGGGGGAGAATGGCGCACAGCTCAAAGAACGTCATCACCGTCACTAACGTGGACACGGAGAAATTGGTGAACTGGTGTCTGTCCGGCTGTGTGTATTCTCAACAGCAGCAGCAGAGCCCAAATCCAACAGCACACACCTGTCTCTCACAGGCAACCCCTGGGCCTCCCTCTGTTAGCCGCTGTCCAGGGGCAGCGATGCACAAACACACGTGTGTCCTCTGTGTGGGCTGCTCCCTGCCCTGTTGTGTTCATGCCCCAGATCTCAGCACGGGGTCCCTGTGAGTACGCTGAGAGCCCTGGTTCTTCATAACTGCTTTTACTGTCCCACTGAGAGAACAACGTTGCTCTTCTCCTAATGCTGTACTGTGGACTTCACCACAATCTATTTAACCCTTCCCTTACTCACAGGGATTAGTTTGATGCTGTTGTTGTTGATATGTGCCGTCGAGTAGGACCCGACTCATGGTGACCCCTCCATAGGCTTCTGAGGCAGTATCACTATGGAAGTAGATTGCCCCATCTTCCTTCTGAGGAGTGGCTGGTAGGTTTGAACCGCCAGCCTTCTGGTTAGCAGTCAAGTGCCTTAGGCACTCTGCCACCAGAGCTCCTTAAATTTTCACAGATGCTGCCAAATGGCTCTCTGAAGAGGTGGTGCCCCTTTACACTTTGGTCAACAGTGCATGAGAACGAACAGGTTTCACTTGACTGCTCTGTGAAGCATGTTGTTGTTGTTGTTGTTATGTGCCACCAAGTCGGACCCGACTCACAGCGACCCCTCCTTGGGTTTCCGAGGCAGTATCACTACGGAAGTAGGATTGTCCCATCTTCCTTCCGAGGAGTGGCTGGTGGGTTTGAAC